ATTAATTTTGAACGCCAAAAAGTTTTTTAAATTAATGTGAACGAATTTCCTTTCAAATTTGTTCAAATTCCTTTGAATCTCGAAATTAGTTTGCATTAATTCGAAAGTATTTAAAAGTTCCAATGGGTTTATTATCTGTTTGCATTTCTATTATGAATTTAATTGAACTTTCTAGTTTGTTCATAAATCTCATAAATAATGCAATATCTCTTTGTGTTCCATGTAATATCATAAACACATCATCAACACAATGATAAAAAATTGATGGTTTTTTTCCCTTTAAAATTTTTAATATTCCCTTCAAGTTCACTCATAAATAAACGTGCAAGTATAGGGGCAACCGGGCTGCCCATTGACACGCCATTTATTTGATCATAGTGCTCGCTATTAAATATAAAATTAGTTCTTTTTGTACAGTAATAAAATAATTCTCTCAAGTTGTCATCATCTATAGTTAATTTGGGACGGAATTGTTTAATTTTCTTTATAGCAATATTAATAGCCTTTTCTAAAGGCACATTCGTAAATAAAGATAATACATCTAATGAATACATGAGCCTTGATAAGTCTTTATTTTCTTTAATAATTCTTGCAAAATCGAATGAATCTTTTACATAAGAGGGACACTGTGAAATTGCTGGTTTAAGTAATGCTATTAAATATTTTGCCATATTATAATTATATGAATTATAACTTGAGATGATAGTTCGAACTGGTTGCCCTGATTTGTGTACTTTAACTAAGAAATAAGCTTCAGGTGTTCTTGAACCTGTATCCGGCCTCATTAATTTATATTCATCAGGACTAATAATTTTATTTCTTTTAAGTTGCAGCAGAAATTTAATAAGTTCTTTTTCACGTTTGTCAGTTAAATTATGAGTTAATTTTTTAAATGCTCTTTCATCATATAATATCTCTTTTGCTTTTCGTTTCATTTTTCGACTGATGATGTTATGACTTCATAACGAAACGTCTGTAATAAAATGATAAAAACGGTGTCAATTGTTCTCGTATTTATAACTAAGGATTATGTCAGCTGACACGAAGATGCTTATGATTGCCATGATTAGATCTATATGCTTTGGACTGTCGGTTATAAAACCAGTCGAATCAGTAAGCGAGTGATTCTGGCGATTTTTGTACCGTCCGACCTGAGCTCATGGATCTCACTCGCCTGGTTATCCGTTAATACCAAACCAAAGTTTTGAAACCTTATGCCATATATTGCGGACACTTGCACTATACATTCTGCTAAGATTTCTTTTCTATCGTATTCTCTTCATCCACAGTGATCAAAACACTTCGTTGTTTGGTTCTTTTCCTGCTTTTTCAGTGGTTCCTGCACATTCTTTTTTCTTAATTAGCACTTTTCTTCTCTTAGGGTGGAAGAAACAGTACCACTACCATTTTTTGAAGATCTTCATGCTTCTTACCACATATAACATTCTATTCGCCACGTTTTGCGTAGAAAAAGCAGTTGAAAATACTGGGTGACCCATAAATAATGGGTCAAAATCTTTTGTGTTTCTGAAGCACTTAAAGTAGTTCTAAGATGGCCCTGTCATTTTCATTGTGTATCACTCACTATATGATTTGTTAAACGCTTTTTCGGATATCTACAGGAAACATTTATTTACGGATGATCTGAAAATTGTTTTTCTCTCCTTCGGCTTACTGGCCATCTTCTTCTCTGATCCCGAAGCTAGTTGAACAAGTAACGGATGTTCTTAATCAACTAATCTGTTATTCTGTGATGTGGAAACAATCCATCAATTTTCAAAAAAGTTTCTCGACCTTATTTCATTGTCAAGTGCATCCTATCATTCCTGATCTTCAATGTCAGGATCACACTGTTTCTCATGTATAAAAAGTCAAAGATTTTGGCACCATTCTTGATGCCAAACTCTCTTTTTCACACCACATTGACTATATCACAGTGCAACACACCAAAAGCAAACAGAAAACCACCTTCAAAACTTGAAAGTACTAGGTGAGATATGACAAACCCCATTTTGTTTTGGTTAGGTGTGGGGCAGATTTTTTTTTTTGCCTCCTACATTTTTCAGCTCCAATTTGGATTTTAGCATATTGTTGAAAGTTTTCTGAAGCTGATTATTTATCGACGGGTCAGTTTCAAGTTTGAAGGCTGTGCTATTGCACATAACAAACAAAAAACCTTCCATTCCATTAGCATTCGGCATAAATATAAAGGAAAACTATGAAACACTGAAAGATATATTGAACAAAATCAAATATGATGACTATAAATGGAAAATTTGCTGCGACTTGAAAGTTATAAACATATTGCAAGGTATTATTGTATCGGGCGGCTATCCAAAATACTTTTGCTTCCTTTGTAATTGGG